GTTGTAATATATTTACAGATTAGTTGTAACATATTTACAGATTTGTTGTAATATATTTACAGATTTGTTGTAACATATTTACAGATTTGTTGTAATATATTTACAGATTTGCAATGATGCCATTTTGTACAGTTTGTTTACTTTCTGATTGAACTGCTTGTCCTTTGAACTGTTTAATGAATGTAAAATTAGTTTCCATCAGGTTTTAGCCAAGATTTTTAGCTTTCTTTTGATACCAACACGTCCAGGTTGAAATGACAGATCTGAAGTTAAAAGAAGTTAAAGGAAATAGAAACCAGAACAAACTGTGTTGCCCCCAGTACTGGGGTTATGGGGGTTTAAGAGGGTAAACMCATCTGTGCTGCTGCTGCACTGAGAAAAACTGCTTCAGATCAGCCTCTGTCTGCGTGGAGGGAAGACTTCCTGAAAACTGTTTTATTAAGCTTCAGGCTAAACACAAACACTTCCTACCTGCTGCCTGGACAAAGTGTTGGCCACCAAGGTGTGGGCGGGGTCTTTGGTCTGATCGTCTGAGCTCAGTCTTCTCAGAAGACATTTGGGTTTGGAGTGCTGCCATCTGGCCTCCCAGGAGCCTTCCTGCCCGTCTGGATGAACAGACACAGAGATTATTGCTGAGAAAAGAGCAACAAGCTGTCAGCTCGCACACACACAGGGTTGAACACGACAACCTTGGAGGTTTGAGACGGACTCGATGGAGAGAACACGTCGTCCGACAGCCGACAGCTTCCGACACACGGCTGCAGACGAGCTGTGGAGCAGCTGAGCTTCAGCCAGGGACAGGATGTCCTGCAGAGACACACACTGAAAGGCTTGCATTGTTCAGACGACAGGTTATCTTTAAAAAGCTCAGTTTTATTCTGGAACTCATAGAAAGCTTCAGTCTGTGAGGTAACTGTTCAGTTCAGTTGAACTGCTGCAGTGACACAACGTTTCCACTGGATGCTGCTAGAAAACACTGCCTACATTACAGCAGGCAGAGTGGAAAATAAAACTAAAGCTGCATTAAATAAAACTGATCTGCATCATTAAGCTGTGAGGTTAGTCACACAATAATACAACAAATACAGTTGTGTTATGTTCTTTAAATACAGTAGATGGTAAACAGTTTGTTTTATTATTCACCAAGTCATTATGCATATTTTATAATGTACTTTAAATGATGCRATCATCTATAAATTTCACATTTCCTTGAAAAGAACGCAGCAGAAGCAACGAGCGAGTCTGCAGACTTTAATACAGGCAGCTGCTCTGGTTCTGCACCGCTCCTGTACCTCCAGGAGCGGCCGGTCCTCAGGCTGCTCCTCCTGCATCTGATGCAGCAGCTTCTGGATCTCCTCTCCCAGCTCCGCCTCCAGCTCCGGCTCCATGACAAAGTTCAGCGCAGCGGAAAGCGTCGAGCCCAGAGAGTAGATGTGGCCCTGCAGCAGAAAATACCCTCACTGGCATTTTACTGGAACCATCATGAATATTAAAAACTTCACAAACCTTTAATCTCTGCAGATTTAATGCAGGTTTGTCTCATTTAAAACCGATGCTTTATGTAAGGATGCATCTCCACAAACCACAGCAAACCAGAGCTAAATGTGTTCAATAAATAAACACGTGAGGCAGAACAACTCTGCTAAAATAGGAACATGACGGTCAGATAAGCCCGTCTCCCACCCACAGTATAAATGTTTCAGGATTACACAGACTGATACATGAAAATCTGTGTTTCTGCTCATTTTCAGCTGAAACACTTCTGTAAATCCTCAGATCCTGGCAGCTTTCTGATGACATCAAACATAACAAATAATGAGACGATTAAAAAAAGGTCAYATTCAGATGAATAAAGGTTAAACTACAGATAAACTAGAGACCACAGATGAAAACTAGCTTCAGCTAAACATCTTTTATTAATGTTTATTTGCACATTGTCCCTGTTAAATAAGCTTAAAAAATGAAAAGTATCAGGATCATTTTCTGGGATGAGTTTCTACCTGAGTAATCTGTTTTAGTTTGATCACGTCTGGTTTATAAATAATATTAACTAAATGTTAATTAATATTAATATTTACATATTACTAATATAT